CTTCCTTCCTTCCTTCCTTCCTTCCTTCCTTCCTTCCTTCCTTCCTTTTTCCTCTCTCCCTCCCTCCCTCTCTCTCTCTCTGTATATTTGTGTGTGAATGTTTACAACTTAACAGATAACAGATAATCAGAGTTGGAAGGGACCTTATAGGTCATCTAGTCCAACCCTCCACCCAAGCAGGAGAACCTACATACCATTTCTGACAAATGGCAGTCCAATCTCTTCTTGAAAGTCTCAAGTGATGAAGCTCCCACAACTTCTGAGGGAAAGGTGTTTCATTGGTTTATTGTTCATTTTTTAGTGCTGAAGAACCCGTTGTGGCAGACCCAGATCGCCTCTGGGGGACGTAATCTTCTATTGCTGGGTTTTTAAATATTTCACATAGCTTGTTTATGTTTTGGTCTCTGTTGGTTTTACAAATTTTATTAGGTTATCAGAATATAAAATACAATGGAAAATAAAAACAATGAGAAAAGAGGGAAAGGAAAAAGGGAAGGGAAGAGAAAATGTGAGATAGATTGAGGAAAAGGAGGGAAAAAAAGGTGTTGATTCTCTTTAGCACAATAGAAACCAGCAACATTACAACATCAGCTTTTTACTTTTATATCCACATCATTTCTGTAGCAACCAATCTATCCAGTTGGCAAAACTCAAATGAAAGTTTCACTTTTTTCCATCACAAGCCCGGAACCCAAAAGTGCTTCCCAAATGGAAGCATGATGAGATCTATTAACCTTTTCAAATAAAGCCATTCTTTATTGGATTTTCAACCGTTCAAGAGAAATGCTATAGACGTGCTTGCCCACAGACCGCCGTATATACATAACATCTTTATATCTCTGCTGTGCTTTCAGCAGCTGTTGCATTCAAAGGAGCAAAACCTGCCCATTGAAATCCTCCTGCAATTGTGCAAATTGAGCAGTTGTGCAAGGAGGAAGACAGATGCACAGTCTGGAACTGATAAAGAGCGTCCATCCTCGGTGTCTGTCCGTGTGCTTGCAGGGCAGGAAGTATATGTGGTGTTTGTTTGTTTTTTTAATTGCACTTGCTCTTCCGTCACACTTGAGCCTCTGGCTGCTTTCTGAAAACTGATCCAGATGTTGTAATTTCGAAGCATAGCATGCATAGTCTGTGGGGCAGGGGTGCGATGCTGCCGGTATAACAACCGGTTCGTTGATCGCACGCACGCGTGCTTTGCACACGCACCTGACGCGAGCTGCACGTGCGTGAACAGCAGTGCAAAAAATCCTTACCTGCTATGTTACTTTGGGGGAGTAACACAGCTGAGGAGCGGCAATCCGCACTTCCGCGGTGATCAGATGGGACGATAAAGGTCCGTACAAGTAAAGATCGAGAATTTGCCTGCAATGCTGCATTCCACCATGACTCAGGATGGATGGTGAAGAGATAAAATCAGTGTAATTAGTTACATGGCCCTTTCAGGTTCTTATTTGGACAAATTACACACACACACACACACACATGTACATACATATATACACATACACACACATATACACACACATATGTAAAAGAAGCAGCAGCCACCCTGCGATCTCCAGAACTTAAAATTATATTTATTGTTATTTACTAAGTTTTCGTCAGCCTCTGCTGATATCATCAGAGTATTAAGCTACCATTACAGAGATCTCTGCCTTTATGTATCATTAATCAATTTAGCCCTTTCACGCATGATAGGCCCTTCCAAGGAGTATTCTAGCTTACTACTCTGACTATGTCAGCAGAGGCTGACGAAAGCTTAGTAAGTACAATAAATATAATTTTAAGTTCCGGAGATCGCAGGATGTCTTTTTCTTCTTTTACAATTACACCTGGAACTTGTATTTTTAGAATAGTTTGTAATACACACATACACACACACGCACGCGCGCTCTTTAGAAGTAGAGTTGAGTTACAACAAAGCTGTCAACTTTGCATAGACTTTACATAATTACATTTTTGGTATCTTTTTGTTCCCAAACGGGTACAACTTCAGATGAAATATTTACAAATATTTACGACGTTGGCTCTCAGATCTAACGATATCTGGAAAGATTTTTCTGCTGGTTGCTGTTGTCGTGTTCAAAACAAATCAACTCCAAGACCAGAAAGCTTTCACTTATTTTTCCACTCCCTTGTGTTCTTGTTGAGACGGCAAGGGAGAGTTTTGCCTTGCACAATCTTGTCCCTTGAAGAGCCTCCAAGTTTTAAGCCCTCCCTCTCTCCTTTGTGTATTAAAAAGCCAGTGTCGCATGTTTGCAATGCTGCTCTGGCGTGACTGGAAGGATAGACCGCAGGACAGTTGCATTTTTCTCCTATCTGCTTTTTTCAGGGTTTGTTTTGGGTTCTTTTGGTAACAGGAAATGGCGTTTCAGTGGTATTCAAACAAACGTCTGCCTCTGGGTTTTGACATTCGACCGAAGCAGAAGCTTCACACATTCATTTGCCATACATGTAATACATACAATGTCTGGAATACTCTACCTGACTCTGTGGTTTTTTTCCCCCAAACCCCCAAAACATGAATGTTAGACTGTCTACTATTGACCTCACCCCTTTCCTAAGAGGTCTGTAGGGAGTGTTCATAAGCGCACCAACGTGCCTACTGCCCCTGTCCTATTGTTTCTTTTATTTTTCTTATATGTACCCATTTCATTTATTCATAACTATGTTTTTACTTATACCTATTATCTTGTAAGCAATTGACAAATAAAAATAAAATAAATAAAATATAGAAATGCAAAGTTTTCCTTACAGTGTTGTAGATCTTTGCTAATTGAATACATTACTTCATAGCTTGGGCTTTCCTGATAAATCTGTAATTAATACCAAGAGTTTGGAATCTTTAATCTTCATTATTAGGCTTGTTTTCCATTGTTCCTCTAGTGTCCTTAGAGTTTTCTACGCCTATAGAGAGGCAGGGAGGAAAGCCAAATGCAATGTTTTAAGGAGAAAGGAATCTTGGGAAAAGCCAAATATAATCTATTAAGGAGGAAAGAATCCAGTGCTGTGGTTCTGTCAGAGAAGATAGTGCTGTTTAACAGTATCTTGAGCTGAGAAGTGCCCTGTTTTCTCCACACACTTTTGAGTTCAGAAAAACAGAACAGAATAACGGAATTGGAAGGGACCTTGGAGATCTTCTAGTCCATCCCTGTGCTCAAGCAGAAAACCCTATAGCATTTCAGATAAAGGTTTATCCAATCTCTCCTTAAAGACTTCCAGTGTTAGAATATTCACAATTTCTGGAGGCAAGTTGTTCTACTGATTAATTGTCCTAGCTGTCAGGAAATTTATCCTCATTTCAAGATTGGTTCTCTCTTTGATTAGTTTCCATCTACTGCAGTGGTGGGATTCAGTTTTTTTTACTACCAGTTCTGTGGGCGTGGCTTGGTGGGCATGACAGGGGAAGGATACTGTAAACTCCCCATTCCCTCCCCACTCCCGGGGGAAGGTTACTGCAAAATCCCATTTCCACCCCACCCCACTAACCTGCTTTCCAGCTCTGTTCTCCTGTCCAGGGCAATAAAAGAAGACCCAGATGATCAGCAGGGCTTTGGGTGGCAGAGAATAGATGGGGGTGAGGCCAGTCAGAGGTGGTATTTGCCAGTTCTCCAAACTACTCAAAATTCCCGCTACCGATTCTCCAGTACTATTCAAAACCTGCTGAATACCACCTCTGATCCATTGCTTCTTGACCTGACTTCTGTTATTTTGGAGAATAGCTTGACTCCCTCTTCTTTGTGGCAACTCCTGAGATATCAGAACGCAACTATCATCTTATTCTCAGCCCTTCCTTCCATTAAACTAGGCATAGAAATCACAAATTATTTCTGGGCGTTGTTGTAGCACAGATATGGGAATTGTCTCTCTCCTTCTTTGGGTTTATCCCTTGCATTTTTAGCATCCTTCATTATGTCATTCTCTCTCTGTTCCTTTTGCTTTCTTTTTAAGGTTCCAGATGTCATCAGTAGTATAAGACAGGCTTCCAAAGCGGCCCTCAAAGAAGATGTCAAGCCCAATAAAGAAAATGAAGATGCCTTCTACAACTCCCAAAAATTTGAGGTTCTGTATTGTGGGAAGGTGACGGTGGCCCACAAAAAGGCCCCCTCCTCCCTCATTGACGACTGCATTGAGAAGTTCCACCTCCACGAACGTCAGCGCCTGAAACTGCTGAGCGAGCACTGCAGCACCGAGTCCAGTACAGACCTCATGACATGGGAAGATGGCCCCTCTTCCCCTTTGGACAGTCCATTTCAGGAGATGGAGGGTTCCAGCGGAGGCACCCCGGGGATGTTCATCGTGGGGAGCCAGACCAACCTGGCCAGTTTGGCCAGCTGCCGGACCTCTTTCCCTGAGCGGATCCTGGAGGACTCGGGAGTGGAGGAGCAGCTGGAATTTCGTTCTCGCTGCAGCAGCGCTGCCAGCCTGCAAAGGAGAGCTCAGGAGAATAACTCCAAGCCTTTATCCCGAAGGCGCCATGCCAGCGCCCCGAGCCACGTCCAGCCCTCCGACTCTGAAAAAAACAGGACAATGTTGTTTCAGGTACGGACATTTCTGATGTGGGGATGGACCGTCCTATTGGGCCTACTTTGGTCTTGACGATTGACTGCTCTTGCACAACATAATGTGATGTCCATTTGGTTGAAATGGATTATAGCCATTGGATATACAGCTATAAGTGCTTTGATGTTTCAGTAGTTGTGAGCTGGTGGGTGCCATTTGGAAGGACATAGTGGGCTTTCGTGGAAAACCTGGCGGCTGTGAGCACTTTTGACTAACCACAATTTTCATTTGGGTTCTTTTTAAAGAGTTTTAATTTTGCCCCTTCAAATTTCTTAATGACTGCAGCCAGGTCTGCCTATGGGATTGAGATATTTGAGAGTCAAAATAAGAGGTATTACTACATAAATGCCTGAGGCGTTTGTATCTTCTGGGGTGTTGAAGGGTAAAGATGGAAAGAGAAGAAAGGAAGAGATTTGCTAGAAGCAAATTGTTTTGACTGTTCAGACCTCCATGATAGGGTGAAATTGCGTTGTTGTGAGGTAAACACAAGAATGCAAAGAGAGAAAGAGAAAGGGGGAGAGAACAAAAGAGGGTGAGTGATGCAGAGAGGGGGAGAGAAGGAGGGAGGGAAAGAGGGAGAGAAAAGAGTTGGATATGTTTTTATAGCCCAGGCTTGGCAGGTCTCCATCTCTGATCAGTGGTCAACAGAAGGTGTTACAGTTGCCCTGAACATGTAAGGAATTAAGTAAAAGGGCTCTTATGCTCTGTGGAGAGGCCCAAAGCAACAAACATTTGGAAACCTAGTTGGTGGACCATTTTGCAGTGGTGGGATTCAGCCGGTTCACACTGGTTCAGTCGAACCGGTGGCTATTTTTTTTGTACAGTTTGGCGAACCAGCTGAATTGCCTTCCTCCCCACCCAACAAGCAGCCAAGAAGCGAGGCAAGCGGTCAGGCAAGGTCAGGAGGCAATGCACCCCTCGATGTGAGTGACATCAAGTTGGCCACGCCCACCCAGTCACATGACCACCCAGCCACGCCTACCCGGCCGGTCATTGGGGCAGACAACCGGTGGTTAAATTATTTGAATCCCACCACTGCCATTTTGTATTTTGGTGGAGGGCAGAAGTTGGTACCAGTTACTTTTCCCAGCAATAAATACTAAGGTGGGAGTTAAGAGAAAAAACGGACCGCAGTGTGGAAGATCTCGGCGTAGCTCCTGATCTGTGAAACCGAAGCCAAGGGCTGGAGAATGTCTCTGCAAGACTTTTTCATTTTTTTTTTTTAGAGGGTTAGTCAAGCAGCTCCTTGGCAGCATCTCTGACTCATTCTTGGAAGAACATCAGTTTGGGAAGCTTCCCTTTTACGTGCCTTTGATAAACTATGTGAGGAAATATTTTGGTGCTGGCCCCACAGGTTTCAGAGCAGCTTTTTTCCCCCCTGAGATATTCTGCATCACCTCCTGCTTTGACATGTTTTTTTTCTCTCTCTTCCAAGGTTGGTCGATTTGAAATTAACCTCATCAGTCCAGACTCCAAATCAGTTGTGTTGGAGAAGAACTTCAAAGACATCTCCTCGTGTTCTCAGGTAAGAAGGACAATTGGAATCCCAGCTTGGAGAAACAAGGCTGGACAGGTTTTTGAATGGCCTACATTTTTAAGGCCTAGTGATTGTGAAGGAAGCTAGATGACCTTAGATCCCCCAACACACACAGTTTTCTTTTTTTAGCTGTGGGATTTGGCTGATGCTGGCAAATGTAGCTTTTTATGAAACCCAATTTTGGGGGGTGAGCAGGGGACACATTTGGTATTTGGGAATGGTGCCTTCTAGATGATCACCAAGATGAAGGTTGTGTTCACAACTGTGGCTGCAGGAGAGGACCAGGCTGAGCCTGAGGGAGGAGTCAAGCACGTCATCAGTCTCAAGTCCCTTCACAGAGATCTAAGGCCAGCCCATCTTGAATTCCGTTGGTTCTTATCTACCGCCAATTTGCTTTGGCTGTTAGTAGTTCAGATTCTTATAGAAGCACAGCATAGCATACCCCGACAACAACCAACAACTGAACCCAACATTTCTGTTGCTAAGCAAAACATGTGTTAAAGTGAACGTTGGTCCATTTCACAACCATTCTGGCCACAGTTGTTATGTGAATCATTGCAGTTCTTAGGTTAGTAACCCGGTCGTTAAGTGAATTTGGTTTCCCCTACCCAGACTTTGCTTGTCAGAAGGTTGCAAAAGAGGATCACATAACTCTGGGACACTACAACAAGGGGTGGCCTGCTATCGATTTGCCTCAATTCAGGCGATCTGGTACCGAACCAGTAGCTAAATTTATGGCCAGTTCGGCGAACCAAATCTTGATTTCCTAAGCATGACAGAGGCCAAACACCAAAGACTTCTTCCTAAGCCAGCAAACAGATTAACAGAGTTGGAAGGGACCTTGTAGGTCATCTAGTCCAACCCCCCACCCAAGCAGGAGACCCTACACCATTTCTTCTTGAAAGTCTCCAGTCATGAAGCTCCTCCTCTTTCATGAGGAAATCCCAGGGCTAGGATTCTACCTAGTCAGACCAGTTCTATAGAACCGGTTGTTACGATTCTGCGCAGTTCAGAGAACTAGCAAATTGCACCACTGGCTGGCCCCTCCCCACCCCCTCATTCCATACCTGGCATGCACGCCATCAAACTTGCCTGCATTTGGTAAGTTGCTATTTTTCCTTCCCCCACCGTCAGCTGTGCTGGGAGATTTAGATTAGCTAGAAAGCTGGAAATCATTGGATTTCTTGCTTTCTAGCTAATCTAAAAGCAGAGCTGAACCTTCCTTAGGACTGAAGCTTCTATTTTTCAGTGCAGACTCAGATAGCAGATTGCAGAATGGTAGATCTCTGAGTGAATCTGTGATTCTGCGAGCAACTTAATCTGCCTGCCTGCTTTGCCTGCTTTTGGGTTAAAGTTGCTCTTTTTAATTAAAAAAAAATTAAATATTTACATACATATTTATAATATTTACATGCAAGCCACACCCACCCAGTCACATGACCACCAAGCCATGCCCAATCAGCAACCCATGCCCACCCAGTCACATGGCCACCAAGCCACACCCACAAATTAGGCCACGCCCACAGAACCGATTGTTAAGAAATTTGAATCCCACCCCTGGTCTTCTCCAGTCTGGTTTTCTTTAGATCTGCTTAGTTATGGCTCTCAGGGCTTCCAGCTCAACCCCACAATTCATTCTAGCCAGAAGGATGGGATTTGTAATGAACCAATTCTGGAAGGTGGTAACACAGAAGAAGGTTGAGTTTCCACAGTATGAGTCTCCTTAGCTCGTCTGGGCCAACTGTTAAATAAGTTGGCCAGTGGTTAAAATAAGCCAGCACCCTCCTTCATGTACCTTCTATTTTCATTTTATACTGAGGGAGAAATCGCAAGAAAGATGCTTCAAAACATTGGATGATTCTGCTCACCTCGACAGAAGAGGAAACTTAAAATTATTCTTCAATTCTGTTTTCTGCTAGAGTTCTTTGTGGCCAGAGTTAGGGTTCCTGAAATACGTGTGCATCCAACTACTTACTCTCTTCTGGTTTTTTGACTGAAATAGCAGCACAACTTGAAACGGGTTTCGGGTGGGGGAAGGGCACTGCGCCGGTTTGATTTTTAAACAGGAAGGTTCATTTGTAAAGTCTGTGCAAGTTGACAGGCAATGTAAACATGAAAAGCAGCACATGGCCCATGAAAGGGCCCTTCTATGCTTCCTTGTTCCCTGGAGAACAATAAACAAAGGGATATGTGTTATTCTGGCATCTCACAGCTCCATCTGAGCAAAGGACCGACTGAGCAGCTAACGCTGAGCCCCAGAGCCTTTAGACCAGGACAGGGAAGAAAACACTGGGCAGGTCTCCTCAGAAGTAATTGACTGCCAGGCACGATTTTCCCAAGCTACGTCCTTTCTGTGGTGAGGACCACTCCCAAAATATGTCTGGAGTTAAGGCAAGAGGTGGCCTTCCTTTTAAGAATGGAATTAATTTCTTAAATTGGATTACTCTCCAGTGGGAATGGGGCAAATTATCACAGCCAACTTGCTGCGGCCAACTCACCATGGCCAACTTTCCATAGCCTACTCTCCATGGTCAACTCTCCATGGCCAACGTGCCATGGCCAATGCACCATGGGCAACTCTCCGTGGTCAACTCTCCATAGCCAACTCTCCATGGTCAACTCACCATGGCCAATGCACCATGGCCAACTCACCATGGCCAACTCACTGCAGCCAACTCACCATAGCCAATGCACCATGGCCCACTTACCATGGCCAACTCGCCATGGTCAACTCACCATGACCAACTCACCATGGCCAACTCACCATAGCCAACTCGCTGCAGCCAATTCAGCATGGCCAACTGGCTGCAAGACAACTTGCCATGGCCAACTCTCCATGTTGGCCATGGCAAGTTGGCTGTGTCAAATTGTCATAGACTCCTCTCCAGTCATGTATTTGATAATATCCCCCACCAGGTGGATGACTCTTGTGGGGAGGAAACAAAGAACTTTCTGGCTTGCAAAGACTCCTGGCAAAGTAACCCGGTTGTTAAGTGAATCTGGCTTCCCCACTGACTTTGCTTGTCAGAAAGTGATCACATGACCCCAAGACCCTGCCCAGTGTCATAAATATGAGCCAGTTCCCAAGCATCTGGATTTTTATCACCCAATCATTGGATGCTGCCATGGTCAATAGTATGAAACAACAGTCATAAGTCACTTCTTTCAGTCCGGTGGTAACTTCAGTCACTAAATGAACTGTTGTAAGTCGAGGACCACCTGTGCTCTGGTGAATGGCTTTAATGGGGGCACGGTGGCCTAGCAACTAAGACGCTGTGATTGTCAAAGGAAAGATTAGCAATTCGAGACCCAAAAGTACCTCAAGATGGGGTGAGCTCCCATTCCTGCCTCAGCTACTGCCAGCCTAACAGTTCGAAAGCAGGCAAATGCAAGCAGATAAATAGGAACCACTTTGGTGAGAAGGTAACAGCGTTCCGTGCACCTCGGGGTATAGTCATGCCGACAGAAGAGATTTGGGATAATGCTGACTCCTTCAGCTAGGAAACAGAGATGAACACCCCCCACCCAGTAGAGCCAGACCTAAGAGGACAGAACCTTTGATGGCTTTAATCACTGCTTCTTTAATTTGCTCAAACTAAATGTTGATGGCGTGTTCCATTTCTCCCTTTCCTTCCCTCTAGGGCATAAAATACATCGATCATTTTGGCTTTATATGTCGGGAATCCACTGAACCTGGAATAAGCCAGTATGCGTGCTATGTCTTCCAGTGTGCAAGCGAGTCTCTGGTAAGCCTCTTTAAAATACCATTTTCATTGTCTATTTGACGCAGGACTGACAAAAATAAGGAGATAAGGCTTTTTGCTGTTCCTGGAGCCATATGACCAGGCGTGGGATTCTTCTGGTTCAGACCGGTTCTATAGAACCGATAGTTATGATTCTGTGCAGTTCAGGGAACTGGCACATCGTGCCCCTGGCTGACTCCGCCCCTCTCTGCCTGCATACATACATGACATCGCGGACTACATTCTCCCCCGCCCAGTCACCCAGGAGGCAAAAAGGGGTGTGGCAGGTGGGCGGGGTGTGTGTGCTGGCAACCCCCCAAGCTCACTTTTTTGCCTTCTTGGGCCCCAGGAAGCCTTCTGGGAGCAAATGCCCCCCCCCATCAGGAGGCTTCTCTGAGGCCAGGAGGCAAAAAACCATTTGACAGGTGACCAGCCTTTACCTCGAGCTCCTTCTCATCTCTAGACTCTTTCCAAGTCCCGTGGCAGTGATTTCCAAACCAGAGCTAGTAGATGTGAAGATGTCTCTGTTGAGGCATTTGGTAACCTCTCTAGCTGTGGTGTCACCGCCACAGGAAGTACGGATGTCTCAACTGAAAGAAGAAGCCGTTGCTAGAGAGGGTGATTCTCTCTCTGGACCTTCCAGGCAAGCTGAAGGATGAGAATGAGACACTGAACACCCTTCTTCATATTTGCAATCAGGACACCAGCTGGGGATGGTTTCCCATTTCAATTGGATTGTATTTTTTGCTCTTCTTCTTCTTTGTCGTCTTCATATTCTTTTTCTTCTCGTCTTCGTCTTTTTTTTTTATTGGCCAAGTGTGATTGGACACACAAGGAATTTGTCTTTGGTGCATATGCTCTCTGTATACATAAAAGAAAAGATATATTTGTCAAGAGTCAACAATCATAAAGTACAACACTTAATAGTCAAAGGGTACAAAAAGCAATCAAATCATACTAGGAAACAGTCAATATAAATCGTAAGGATCCAAGCAACAAAGTTACAGTCATACAGTCACAAATGGGAGGGGATGGGTAATAAGGAGTGATGAGAAAATTAATAGTAGTGCAGACTTTGTAAATAGTTGAACAGTGTTGAGGGAATTATTTGTTTAGCAGAGTGATGGCTTTTGGGGAAAAACTGTCCTTGTGTCTAGTTGTTCTGGCGTGCAGTGCTCTATAGCATCGTTTTGAGGGTAGGGAGTTGAAACAGTTTATTTCCAGGATGTGAGGGGTCTGTAAATATTTTCACAGCCCTCTTTTTGACTCAGGTCCCCAATGGAAGGCAGGTTGGTAGCCATTGTTTTTCCTGCAGTCGTAATTATCCCCTGAAGTCTGTGTCTATCTTGTTGGGTTGCAGAGCCAACCCAGTCAGTTTTAGAGGTGCAGATGACAGACTCAATAATTCCTCTGTAGAACTGGATCAGCAGCTCCTTGGGCAGTTTGAGCTTGGGGTTGATGACTTCGCTTCCTATGAGAACTCTGGAGTTATCTCTGGGGCTATGGATCCAGGAGAGCCTTCAGCACTGAGACACTCCCCATGGGAAGTTTTAATACGCAGTCCTTGACTTACACCACTTCATTTAGCAACCAAAGTTGACAACGCCACTGAAAAAAGTGACAACTGTCTTTCACCGTTGCAACCTTTGCAGCATTCCCACAATCACGTGATCAAAATTCAGATGCTCAGCAATCGGTTCATACTTACGACCATTGCAGCCAGGGGTGGGCTTCAAATATTTTAACAACAGGTTCTCTGCCCAGTTGCTGGGTAGGTGGGCCATGGTGGGTGTGGCCTAGTTGGCCTCCTGCACAAATGTGTGTGTGGGGGTCACGTTTCTGGCCTTCAGGAACGTCTGCGAGGCCTGTTTTTCACCCTCTCTGGGCTCTGGAGGCTTTTCTCGAACCTCTGGGAGGGCAAAAATTGCCTCTCTGGGCTCCAGAGGCCCTCTGGAGGCCAGAAATGGGCCCGTTGATGGCCTTCCCAAACTTCCGGGAGGCCTGTTTTTCGCCAAGCCTCCATATGGACCCTGTACTTACCTGGGATCCAACATGGGCCGTGTGGGGGCTCTTAGGAGGGCTGAGGGACAGCAGGCGGGGCCAACCAGTTGTTGCAATTCCTGGTTTGCCGAACTGGCCATAAAATTCGCTACCCGTTCGATGATACTGGTTCACCCGAATTGAGGCAAACCAGTAGCAGCCCAGCCCTTGTTGCAGCATCCTGGGGTCATGGGATCAACTTTTGTGACCTGATAAGCAAAATCAATTGATAAGCCAGATTCATTTAACCACCAGATTACTAACTTATGAACTGCGGTGAGTCACTTAATATCTGCAGCAAGAAATATCATAAAATGGGGGCAAAACTCATGAATGTTAATGTGTTAATACCACTTTATAATGCCTTGGTAAGGCCACACTTGGAAGACTGCATCCAGTTTTGGTCACCACGATGTAAAAAAAAGATGTTGAGACTCTAGAAAGAGTGCAGAGAAGAGCAAGCAAGATGATTAGGGGACTGGAGGCTAAAACATATGAAGAACGGTTGCAGGAACTGGGTGTCATGTCCCTGGTGGAGACTGACTCTGAGGGAGACGAGGAAGAGCCGACAGGGAGTGGAGGTGTGGCTCCGGAGGTCGTGGAGGAGGCTGGGGAAGGGCAGAGGCCGGCTGAGCAGTCAGAGGAGGACCCAGGCCCATTGCAGGGAGGAGAGGAGAGGGGAGAAATGTGGTCTCCTCGGGAGGAGAGGGCCTTGAGCCTCTTCACGGGCTGCAGCTGTGACAACTCAATCAGAGTTTGGACCTGCGTACTTGCAAATGCTGGACATAAATTGTGTAAATATCTCTAGTTTATAGCTCCTCTTTGAGTTTGGCGTCCTTCCCAGACATCCTCCAGCCCTTACCTTGCCTGGTTTGTGTTGCTTTTTTCCTTCTTCGTGTAACTGTGTGGGAGGTTTTTTTGTCTTCAAAGATATTCAGAGCAAACTGAAGGAATAAAAGGGGCTTCACCTGTTTTCTGTGACTGTGTTTGTTTGTATCCCACCCTGGGCCATCACACTGGGTATGTCTAGTTTTTTTTTTTTAACATAAAAAACACAACAACAAAACATAAAAGTATCAGCTCCCCCATATTTTTGTACACACCGTAAGTCGGTTGGTCCATCGGTTTTGTGCATTCACCTCATAGTCACAATTACAGTTACTTTATATAATACTCTTATCAATACAAATTTATAAATCCTAGTATCGCTATTAAAGAAAAAAAAAAAAAAATTGACTAAACTTTTATTCGGTCATGCCTTTATGAGATAACTATATTTTAAATATTTTATTCTAAAACAAATCTTATAATCATACCAATTCTATCCCAAATATGAAAAAGAAAGAAACAAAGAAAACTATTATATAGATATAGTATCAAAAACCAATAAAAGGAAAGAGAAAATAAAGTCATTATTATTCCTTATTATCTAACTTTTATATTTTAATATTTCATCATTCAACCATTGATAGAAAAGATCCCAAACTAAATAAAATTGTTTATCTTCTTGCTCTCTAATTTCAAAAGTCAATCTACTCATCTCAGCACATTCCAAAATTTTCTTTACAACTTCTTCTTGCAATGGAATTTTCTCATTTTTCCAATTTTTTGCAAATACAATCCTAGCAGCAGTCAATACATTTACAATCAAATATTTCAACTCTTTACTATAAGTATCTGGTAGTATTCCCAATAGAAAAAACTCCGGTTTCAAGTCTATATGCTTCTTTGTCATTTTTTCCAGCCACATGTGGATTTTAGTCCAATATTTTCTAGCATCCTCACAAGTCCACCACATGTGATAGTATGAACCAGGTTTCTGATGACATTTCCAGCATTTTTCGGATTTGTTCTTGAACATTCTTGCTATCCTTGTCGGGGGAAAATGCCACCTGTAAAACATCTTATACAAGTTTTCTTTATAGGCTGTAGACATTGTCATTTTATAATTTTGCGACCATAATTTCTGCCATTTCTCTAAATCAATCCCATATCCAAAATTCCTCCCCCACGCAATCATAGTTTCTTTAACTTGTTCTTCCTCAAGCTTAATTTGCAATAAATAACTAGTTTGATGAAAAGAAAGACCAGGGGTGACATGATAGCAGTGTTCCAATATCTCAGGGGCTGCCACAAAGAAAAGAGCTATTCTCCAAAGCACCTGAGGGCAGGACAAGAAGCAATGGGTGGAAACTAATCAAGGAGAGAAGCAACTTAGAACTAAGGAGGAATTTCCTGACAGTTAAAACAATTAATCAGTGGGACCACTTTACTCCAGAAGTTGTAAATGCTCCAACACTGGAAGTTTTTAAGAAGAGATTGGACAACCTTTTGTCTGAAGTGCTATAGGGTTTCCTGCCTAAGCAGGGGGTTGGACTAGAAGACCTCCAAGGTCCCTTCCAACTCTGTTATTCTGTTAAATGTTTCACTTAAGAACAGAAATTGTGGGCTCAATTGTAGCCCTAAGTCTAGGGTTACTTGTATTTTAGTTTCAGCTAGCCAGAAGTCATCTTCAGACAAATATTCAAAATTGCCATTGTATCTTAAGATTAATGTTTGAAACTATGATCTATGATATACTGTATGGTCTATCATTTTGTTGTTTGTATATACACTGAGAGACAAATTCCTTATGTGTCCAACCAGACTTGGCCAATAAAGAATTCTATTCTATTACATCTTGGGCTCAAGAGCTCATAGTATCTATGGAGTTTCTCAATCATTCAGGTCAAGGGTCTCCAACCTTAGCAACTTTAAAGCCTGCCAGGTCTTCAACTCTAAGCCAGCTTAGTTGGCTGGAGAATTCTGGGAGTTGAAGTCCTCCAGGCTTAAAGTTGCCAACATTGGAGACCCCTGATTCAGGTCATGATTGTCCCAAAGTTGCTTTTCCAAAAGTCAATGGGACTTTTTTGTTTGTTTTTTTCCTTGAAAACGTTTCACTCCTCATCCAAGAAGTTTCAGTTCTAAAGTGAAGAAGCTTCTTGGATGAGAAGCGAAAGGTTTTCGGGAAGTGGGGGGGGACTTAAGAAAGTCCAGTTGCCTTTTGGAAAAGCTGTGTGGACCAAAATCTCAACCGTGTTTTGACAGAGCTCTGACTGCAATAATTCTCTGTCCACTGGGTCTGAGCAGATACTAGATAACAACCCTTTGCAGTGAGTGGCTTTAGAAAAAGCAGATATTCTGCAGCTTCTGAATGTTGTTGCAAGCTACTATCAGTGGCAGATAAAGAAGAGGCGCTCTCTCTCTTTTCTTTGAAAACGTTTGCCATGAGAAACCGAAGGAGGAATGCCAAATCTTTTCAGAGAAGTCAAAAGGATTCAGAGCCAAGTTGCTTTTTTTCTTGGAGCTTCCTGTCTTGTTGACATGCCTTCCAGACTCTCAGCAGGTTTCCTTCAATAGTCCCATCTGTTCATCTACTGTTCAGGCCTGAAACGGATTTGAATCTGTATGCCAGTGACTTGCAACCTCTGACCCCTTGTTTCCACCGAGCATGTGAAGCTTAAGTCCGTCTCGAGCGGGAGGTGGTGGGAATATTGTATGCCTGGGGCTGGGAGTTTGCCTCCAATCTGCAGGACACCAGCGGAACTTCCAAAAGTTTGACTGATCAAAAACAACAGCTAAGAAATGGACCTTATGACACGCCAGGAGCCCCATGCTTTAGCTTCAAACTGTTTATTTGGAGCTCCTCAGAGGGTCCTCTTTGCAGGCTAGATAATGCACAGAGGGCTGGATGTGATCTGGTTTCCAATGGGAAGCGTCATTTAAATTCACAGGAACTCGGCCCACTTCATGGCCCCTGCAGCAGAAAAAGCCTCCCCGTCTATTGTGCCCTTTTCTATGGGCTGGATTGAGAGCCTGGCTCGACCTGGGGGAAAAAAAAAACCACTCTTCTAGGTCTTAAGAAACACCCAGGATTTAAATTTAACGTTTAAATGTCTCTTTCTAGGTGGATGAGATCATGCTGACTCTGAAGCAAGCTTTTAGCACCGCAGCTGCCTTGCAGAATGCCAAAACCCAGGTCAAACTCTGCGAGGCCTGCCCGATGCACTCCCTTCACAAGCTATGCGAGAGGATTGAAGGTTAGCCGGGTTTGAAATCTTGCGTATTGTCACTTGATTGTCCCTTTGAATGCACACTAATTGGCATATATTAAAAGGAAATTTCGTGGCATACCGCTCTCAAAGTCACCAACTCCAATATATGCTACATAAACATGACCGACTGACTGACTGACTATCTATGCATATTCCCACGTATATTATATGACATAGAGAAACAACATCGTCGTCTTCGGATGTATATACATGGCAAGAAAAAAGAATCTTGCGAGTTTACTAGACAGATGGCCAAGGGAACAGAACTGTTATAGAATCTGGTAGCCCTACTAGAAATACTTAGAAAAATCCTCCCCTCCCAGAAGGGAGCAACAGAAACAGAACTTAAAGTGAGTGTGTGGGGTCTGTAACAATGTTTTGAGCTCCAAGAACATAGCACTTATAAGCCGTATCCTGAATAACGGGAAGTGAGCTTCCTGTAGACTTCTCCATTGTCCTCACCACTCTCTGTATGGACTTTCTATCTGAGGCGCTGCTGCCACCAAACAGTGATGCAGTTTGTTAAAACGCTATCAAATGTGCCTCTATAAAAAGTGGCCAGGACAGAAGGAGAAAGGTGCTCTCCTCATCCGATGCAGGAAATGCAGAGGCTGGTTTGGATAAATGTAAGAAGAATAGAGGTGCTTCTGCTCTCTTAGCAAAAGAAAGTGATGTCTTTCATTCCCATTGTGTTTGGGTCCAGCATCTGCAAGAACATTTTCACACCATCACAGCAATTGAGCAGTTGTGTGCAGATGGTGTGATAATCTCTCCCTAGAAGCTCTTCTTGCAAGATCAGACCAGGTCTTCCTAGCTCAGTTCATGCTTTAGTCTGGGCTTCACTAACTAGCTGTGTTAATTAAATAACAGCGTGACACGCATAGTGTACATTTTTGTGAATTGCTTTTACAGCTTTCATTCAAAATTGTAACAGAATAAATCAGAGAATCAGGGCCTAACTTTCTTTGAAGGACCTCTCTCTTCTTTTGACTTGTTGGTGAAGGACTGGGCCATTGTTTATTTTTATTTTTTTACTAAGAGGTCCCCAAAGATTTGTTCTCCTTTCCCAGTTCTGACATGCTTGCTTTGTGGACTAGAAACATGAATGTTTTCCAAATACGGCCACATCATCCATTTAATGCAAGGGCTTTAATGTTCATTATCATGTTTGATTATCTTAAACATCCTTTTGAGCCTTGAGTTTGTAGTGAAGTGTGCAGAGAAAGGTTTTATCTCTTACAGTCCACAGAAATTTCCTTGTGTGCTGATTGGTTTGTCTCGGAGAGTGTGTCATGCCCCATGTCAGAGTCTGAACCTGAGGAGGAAGACGAACAGCTGACAGGGAGCGGGAGTGTGGCTCCATTGTCTGTGGAGGAGGCTAGGGAAGGGAAAAGTCCAGCTGGGCAGAGCAGGGGAGAAATAGAACAAGGGAGAGATAGAACAAGGGAGAGGGAGTTCAGAGGAAGACCCAGGCCCACCCACTCTTCATCCTAGGGCACAGAGGGAGGAATGGAGAAGAGAGCAACATGGGTTGCATGGCTTATGGGGGAGGAAAGGGCCCTGATTCCCTTCATTAGCCACAACTGAGAAGACAGTTGATAAGAAAGACAGACTACGTGCAGCAGGCTGCTGGGAGCAAATGTAACTTTATCTTGTGTTGTCGTGGCTTATCTGTGTTCCTGGCGTCTTCCCAACCATGTGAGTTTTGCTGTGCCTTCAAGTCTGAAATTCTTGCTCCTACCCTGCCAAACTAATTACTTCACTTTGGCTTGTTTGGACTTTAAGTTACAGTTTGTGTTGCTCATGTTTTGGACTTAATTTTCTGCAGTCAAAGGAGAATTTTTCTCCAGCCAGAAGGTAACCTGGATATTGGGGGCAAAGTTGTAGATAATAAAGGGACTCTTATTGCTTATCTAACTGTGTTGCCTTTTTGCCACAGCCGGGGTCATCACAGAGCGAATAAAAACATTCCTTATTGGTTAGCTGATGGGTGATGGGATCAATAGATTTTTTTTCATCTGTGATAACCCAGAGTGTGCACAAACATAACAAAATCCAGAACATAAATTTTAATGCCTTTTAATGCCTCCAACTTGGCCCCACTGTTCAATAATTCTCGGTTGGAGATAAAACTTATTCTAAAATAGTCTTCAAATGAAAGTAATACAGTCTGAACTTAATGAGCAAATAGAGGTGAAATAAAAATCCCAAACAAACTACAATGAAGGAACTTCCAAGGAGATAACAAGGCACAGTCTGTTGGAAGGACACCACCAAGATAACTTCAGCCCAAAAACCCTTTGCTTCTAGCAACACTGTGTTTTAACTGTCCCTCTTATATGCTATTCTCCCCACCTGCAACCAATGAGGGGGATCATGGCCGCTTCCTCTCTCATAAGCCAAGTTGTTTCCTTCTCCATTCCTCCCTGCCTATTCTAGGATGCATAGGGGATGGGCCTGGTTCTTCCTCTGACTGCCCAGCCAGCCTCTGCCCTTCCCCAGCCTCCTCCACAACCTCTGAAGCCACACCTCCACTTCACTGTCGGCTCCACTCCACTGTCGGCTCCTCCTCCTCTCCCTCAGAGTCTGACTCTAACAAGGGCATGACATCATCATTCTTTGGTAAAAGTGTGAGAATAACACTTAATTCAACTTGAGAGATGCCTTTTAGTCATAGGGGCCATCCTCGGCTTACCTAGCAGTTTAATTTAGTGTCCGTTTGAAGTTACGACAACACTGAAAAAAAGCGACTTATTTTCACACTTATAACCATTGCAGCCTCCCCATGGTTACGTGACTTACATTTGGATGCTTGACAACTGAGTCATATTTATGACGGTTGCCTTTTGTGACAAGCAAAGTCAATGGGGAACCCAGATTCACTTAACAACCGTGTTGCTAATTCAAGAACTGCAGGGATTCACTTAACCAAGTGGCGATACATGTCGTAAAATAGGGCAAAACTCACTTAAAACAGGGCTCATTTGTGGTTGTAAGTTCAGAACAACCTGTATTTCCACTGTATGGGTAGCAGGTCTCAGTGATAAAACTACATCTAGGGTATTTTGCCAATGAAGCAGGAATGTTTACCTATTTCTGTTTACTTCCTATAATTATCAATGTTTATTTCGGAAAGCACATATTTAGTGATCAGCCCCCTCTGGTGGGCAAAGCCATAAAGCCACCCAAGTTATATATATATATAAAAAAGAAACAATAGTTGTTGCTCTAGTGCAGAGGTCTCCAAACTTGGCCACTTTAAGACTTGTGGACTTCAACTCATAGCCAAGCATGGCTGTAGAATCTGGGAGTTGGAAGTCCACAAGTCTTAAAGTGTCCAAGTTTGGAGACCTCTGCACTAGTGAGTCAGAGTTCAAAACGGATTATGTTTTGTTCTTCAATAAAATGTGTTTGCGGAAGGGACAGACTAGTGACAATCTCTCTTTGATTTCCAACAAAAAAAGAGAAAAGCCAGGTTTTCTCAGATTGTGAAAAGATGCAAAGCTGGGGTTTCGTTCTTTTTCTTAAAAAAAAAAAAAAGTTAAAATAGATTGCAGCCTCCGAGGAAGAGAATGCCAAAATATCTAAGAAAGTTTTCACGTGCTTCTGAAAACTTGTTTCGGTTGCTGGCACTAAATGATATTTTAAAGTACTGTGTCATTTCACATAAGATCTACTTGGACAAAGGCTCCTCTGTCAAAGAGCAGTAGCGATGACAGGTGTGTTCACCTGTATGCAAACGTTGCAAAGAACTTTGTATTCTGAACTAAGGACTGAAATAAGAATATCTGCTTCTAGGGGGGCTCTGAGCATAGAAACACGAGGTCTTCTCTCCCAGATTTTTGAAGTATGCCCCAAATAATTAAAATACTTCAGTATAAGCCAAACTCAGAGTTCACCTTGGCCAAGGTGAGGTCTGTAACACAAGCAACTTTAGCTTGTGGCTTCGGACTCTTTGGGGGTCCAGTTATATTCTTAGATGGAAATAGCTTGATTAAAAAAACCATATTCTTTCCTCCTCTCTTGTCTGATTGGATTTATAAAAACAATGACTTTAAAGTTAAACAAGGAATGTATGTGGGGTGGGAGATCTTCTTAAAACCTGTTCCAGGACCTGATCAGGCTCGTCTGGATGGTTTCTGTCAGCAGAGGCCCTTCCATTCCAGAGTTGCTGGTCAATACCGCGGAGATATCTCTCCATGTTGTTCCCAATCACCGTCTCCTCAATTCCTTCTTTGGGAGTGAAGGTGCCATGCTATTTAGGGCAATGCCCACCATCTCTGGGGACCTTTTGTTGGTAGCCAAATCAACCTAGCGAGGAAGGGGTTGAGGGGTTGGGTTGAGCTCCCACCAAGCCATCGAGGAAGAGGGACGTAGAGCTCTGGTCAGAGGCCTTGAATGGCGGGGTGGCCTGTCAGCCTCCGGCCCTTCCAGCAGCTGAATCAGAGGAGGAGGAGGAGGCATGGAGTCAGGGCCAGCCCCAAGGCACCCTGAGAGCTCCAGTGGTGAAGAGGGAGTGGAGCTGTCAGAGATAGAGACAGAGGCAAGCCTTGGCCGGCCGTCAGCCTACAGATGGAGAGTCAACGGCCTTCAGGTCTGGAGGTGGCTGATGAGGAAGAGGAGGAACACCTGGGTCCAGTGCCTGACACGTAGATGCATAGGAGGCAGAGGAAAGGAGAGCAGTGAAAATCTATGGGCCGATCCTTGGGATGGAAGAGCCACCGCTGCTAGCGGAGCCCCAACTTAGCTCTGGGGATAAAAGTCAAGAGACGGAGATGAATAGGTGCGGCGGACAACTATTTATCTCCCTGCCGAACCGACTTGTTAGCCTGCTGTGTGAGAGAAAGAGCCTTTTTTTTTTTGCCAGGGCTGCTGGTACTCCTAATAAAAGGAACATTTGTTTTAACTACAGAGGCTTTGTCATTGTTGTGGCCCTCCGGCGGCTAGCAGAGCTGGCAGCAGAGTCGGATCGTGAGGAGGTTGGGGAGGAGCATGGGCCAGTCCTGGAGGCTGAGGAAAGCTCGGACGAGGGCTCTGCGTCAGAGGCAGAGATGGGGCCAGGGCAGGCTGGCCGTTATCAGTTGCCTTTGGAGTCAGATAGCAGTGAGGCGGGGGAGCAGCTGGAGCCGGTTCCAAGCTTACGCATGCGCATGCGCATACGCAGAGCTGCCAAAAGAAAAGAACAATTACGAACTAGGGGTCGACAAGGGAGTAAAGCCACAGGTGGATGGTGAATGGCCCCTCCCACAGGGATTAAAAGAGGAGCAAAAGGAGAGGGGTTTTTTTTGCAGGAAACAATTAATTTGTTAGTTCATTGCAGCGGTATGAAGATCTGTCTCAGAGACTCTGTGCCAAGCCCTTCCTTGTCAGCACTGCGTTTGAAAATATTTACTCGGCAGCTCTCCAAGCTAGATAAGGTCTGTGCTCCTAATTACACCCTTGAGAGGCTGGTTTGCCAGGCCTTTGGCTGAAAGTGAATGCAATAAGTAACACCTTCATTTAATAAAAGGGGTTTTGCCAGGACAAAAAGTCTGCTTAGTGCTTTTGGGGGAAGCCTAGGTCAGAACAGTCGTGTTTGGGACCCGGGTCAGAACAAATGGCCAAGTGGGGAGACGAAGGTCTCCTGGCTCAAAGGGCTGGTGGGCATCTGGGAGGCAAGGGCATTGGCGGGCAAGGCAAGGCATTGGAGGTTTGGTAGAGGTGGCGTGGATTTCAGCGGTCACACTTCAGCTGAATCTTGTCTTTCTGACTGCAGAGAAGAGCCCGTGAGGGCTTTACAGTGAGTAAAACCTCTCTTGAAGCCCAACGACCTCTCTTCTTTCCCTCTGAAGGACTTTATCCACCAAGAGCCAAGCTTGTCATTCAGAGGCACCTGTCCTCTCTCAGCGACAACGAGCAGGCGGACATCTTCGAGCGTGTTCAGGTAAGAAGGGATCCCCCTCCCCACTCAGATTCGGTTCCCGGGGTGATCTCTGTGTCAGCGCTCCACCAAACCTCCATTCCATCCAAGAAGTCTGAGGCAGGCGTCTCTCAAAAGTTCCTTTTTATTTGGATAGCAATTGGCACAACTGTGGAATCCCGAATCTGAAAGTTCCAGGTTTCCTTACGATAAGTAAAAACTACAAAACCCATCCCCTGTACCCATCATCATATCACATGGCCCAATCACCATCCATCCCAAGTTAAGACTTCCTCTCACTTATGCGCAACACTACCTGACCTTGAATCAGAAAAAGAATGTTATTATATCTAACTAGTTATACTCCGGTGAATTCCCCTGTCCCACTTTCCCAGGCTCAATTGTAGCAGCGCGGGAGCATCGGATCTCAATACGGCTTCCAAAGCTGACACTCTGACTCTCTGGGAATCAAATAATCAGAAATTCACTTCAGGGGTTCTTTCCCTTAGCGTATTAACCTTTCTGAAACCCTGAGGTAATCTGGCTGGCAGTCAGAACAGGGCGGCTAATCAAAACTATTTGCTTCTTTCCTTCCGTGACAGAAAATGAAACCGGTTAGTGACCAGGAAGAAAATGAGCTGCTGATTTTCCACTTGCGCCAGTTGTGCGAGGCAAAGCAAAAGACCCACATCCACATTGATGAGGCCCCGATGGTAAGCTTCCCGTCTTCTCTGGCTTCTCGGGAGCTTCAAAAGAGGCCCAGGAGGTCCTTCAGGGATTCCATTCTCCTAACGGTTCCCAATTCTTACCTGGAAACAGATGATGTGTGAAGGCATCCCGATGGAATAGCAATAGCCCTTAGACTTATATACCGCTTCACAGTGCTTTTACAGTCCTCTGTAAGCAGTTTACATTGTCAGTCTATTACCCCCAACAATCTGGGTCCTCATTTTACCCACCTCGGAAGGATGGAAGGCTGAGTCAACCTTAAGCCTGGTGAGATTCGATCTGCCAAATTGCAGGCAGCCGGCAGGCAGCAGAAGTAGCCTGCTGTACTGCACTCTAATCACTGTGCCACCATGGCTCATTCCAATGGGGAAAGACTAGCAGTGTCTGTCTGGGTTAATTTTTGCTGCTGGGATCCAGAAGAGTGGAAGAAGGACTAGATTTCCTTGAGTGTAGGAGCCTCTGTGGTGCAGTGGTTAGAGTGAAGTACTGCAAGCTACTTCTGCTGCCTGCCAGCTGCCTACAATTTGGCAGTTCAAATCCTACCAGGCTCAAGGTTGACTCAGCTTCCATCCTTCCAAGGTCAGTAAAATGAGGACCCAGATTGTTGGGGTCAATAGGCTGACTCTATAAACCACTTAGAGAAGGCTGTAAAGCACTGTAAAGTGGTATATAAGTCTAAGTGCTATTGCTATTGCTGTAGTTGATTGGATGTTGAATTAGGAGCCCTGGTGATGCAGTGGTTAGAATGAGGTATTGCAGATTGACTCTGCCTGCAGTCTGGAGTTTGATCCTGATCGGCTCAAGGTTCACTCAACCTTCCATCCTTCCGAGGTGGGTAAAATGAGAGCCCAAATTACTGGGGGCAATAGGCCAACTCTGCAAACTGCTTCGAGAGGGCTGTAAAAACACTATAAAGCCGTATATAAGTGCTACTGCTATTGCTATCCCTCTGTCCCAGCCAGATTTGATTTAAATCAAGTACAGAGAGTTCTCAACTTATGAACATTTTGCTTAGAAACCCAGAGTAATACTGGTGTGGAACACAGATAGTCCTCGACTTACAACAATTTTGTATAGCGACCGTCCAAAGTTGCAACCACACTGGAAAAAGTGACTTATGACCATTATTTCACACTTACATTGCAGCATCCCTGAGGTAACGTGCTCAAAATTTAGACACTTGGCAACGGATTCATATTTGTGACGGTTGCAGTGTTTCGGGGTCTGGATTCCCCTTTCGCGGCCTTCTGTCAGGTCATTTCAATGGGCAAGCCAGATTCCCTTGTCAACCATGTTAGTCATTTAATAAGCACCACGGTTCAACAACTGTGGCAAGAAAAGTCACAAAATGGACCCAAACTCACTTTACAACTGTCTCACTCAGTAACAGAAATTTTGGGCTGAATTATGGCCGTAAGCTGACGATTTACCTGTAAGGCCAGGTCCTTGCACTTATATTACTATCCCATATTGGCCACAATTCATTATCAGGTGACCACAATTCAGGCACTTGGCAACCAACTCGCAATTATGACCAATTGTATGGTCCCGTGATTGCCATTTGTGATATATTTTGCCAGTTTCTGACAAAAAAACAACAACTGCACTCAATTTTGCAGAAGCGGTTCACATTTAGCGACTATTGTAAAAAAAATGGTCATGAAAGAGGGATTGATTTGACGGCAAGGACTTCATGATGAAAATTTCAGTCCAAATTTTGGTCTTAAGTTGATGACTAAATGAATTTGTACTTGTGTCAGCCTGATGTTGCATTTAAGCGGGTGACTCAGCCAAAAAAAAAAGCAAAACAAAACCCTTTCATTTGAAATGGAGGGAGAAAACGGCTGGACAAAACAGCCTTTTATCTCTTTTTGAAACCCAACCCTGACCACTTCCTGTGTTTATTATTTTTTTCTACTTGGAATCAGTTTGGCAGTTGCATATTTTGGATCTCCGTCAGTTGCCAGTATTGATAACGATGCTTTATCTTCACCGTACAGAACACGTCTAATAATACAATCCCAGAAAACACCACTAGCAGTGGAAGATTCACCCTGGATATCCTGAAGAACAAGGCCAAGAAATCCTTAACCAGCTCTCTAGAAAACATCTTCTCCAGGGTGAGATAAATTGCTCAGAGGGAGTAAAACGGCGGATAAAGTCATTTTTAAACTGTTTTCCCTTGTCAGATTAGTTCCTCTGTGGGTGATGAGGAAGCGAATGGCATATCAAATGTTTCACGGCACCTTTCTCCCCAAAATCATGTCCTAGAAATTGTGAATTGCTCCGTTCCCTTTGAAACTGCTATTTTCAAACTGCTCAGCGTTCTGAAATCACAACTTCGGAATTTGGCTCTACTTCTGTAAATTCAGAATTTAGCTTTAAAGAACGGTTGTGGGAATTGGGCATCTCTAAGCTAGTGAAAAGAAGGACTAGGGGTGACACGATAGCAGTCTCCCAATATCTCAGGGGCTGCCACAAGGAAGAGGGAGTCAGGCTATTCTCGAAAGCAACAGAAGGCAAGCCAAGAAACAATGGGTGGAAACTAAACAAGGAGAGAAGCAACTTAGAACTAAGGAGAAACTTCTTGACAATTAGAAAAATCAACCAGTAGAACGCCAGGAGTTTTGAATGCACCAAACACTGGAAGTTTTTAAGAAGAGATTGGACAATTATTTGTCTGAAATGGTATAGATTGCCTGCCTGACTAGGGGGTTGGACTAGATGACCTCCAAGCTCCCTTCCAACTCTGTTGTTATATTTTGTTTTTCTGAATTCAAAAGAGTGTGGAAAAAAAAAACGGGGCACTTCTCAACTCAGGATAGTGTTGAACAACACTATTTTCTCTGACAAACGACAATATTGGCTTCTTTTCTCCTTAATGGATTATATTTGGCTTTCCCCAAGATTCCTTTCTCCTTAAAATATTATACTTGGTTTTTCCCCTTGCCTCTCTATAGGAGTAGAAAGCTCTAAGGGCACTAAAGGAACGAGGGAAAACAAGTGTAATGAATAAATATTAAAGTTCCAAACGCTTGGCATTAATTGCTGATTTAGCTAGAAAGACAACCCCCAGCTTTGAAGTAATGTATTGAATGAGCAGAAACCTACAACAGAAGGCAGGACAAGGAGCAATGGATGGAAACTGCTCAAGGGGAGAAGCAAACTGTAGAACTAAGGAGAAATTTCATGGCAGTGAGAACCATTAATCAGTGGAACAGCGTGCCTCCAGAAGTTGTGGAGACTTTTAAGGAGAGATTGGACAGCCATTTGTCCAGAATGGTATAGGGCCGTAGTGATAAACCTATGGCATGCATGCCAGAAGTGACACACAGAGCCATTACTGCCAGCACGCGAGCACTCGCCCAGAAAAGGTCTACTGCGCATGCTTGCGTGCCGTCCGCCCGACAGCTGATTGTCGGGTATCTGGTCCGCATGTGCGGAAGTGTGCAGGAGACACTCACGCATGCACAGAAGCATGCGGCACACGGGGGTAGCACACGCATGTGCAGGAGGCATGGGGGTCACACGCATTGCCTTCTGGGTGATGGCACACGAGCACAAGCAGGCCAGCATGCATGCAGTTATCAGCACGGGAGCCCAAAACGGTTAGCCACCACTGGTATAGGGTCTCCTACTTGTACAGAAGGTTGGGCTAGAACAGTAGTCGCCAACCGGTCGGCCAGGGACCAATGGTGGTCCATGAGAAAATGTTGGTGGTCTGCAGAGAAATATCCCCCCCAAAGCACCGCCCAAAGCAATTAATCCAGTCTGCACGGGAACACAAGGCTGCGCCGCCCACACACAGGCCTCCACCCTTTGGCCGAGCACAAACCTTACCTTGAGTAGATCCATGCAAGCTGGAACTAGAAGGTAAGACCAATGGCGGGGGAGGGAAATCTGCCCCGGGGTGGCAGCTCCGGGACGACCAAAGGGCCAGTCTTGTGACTTCTGCAGCTCTGGAATATGGGACCGACTTTCCCACCAATGTCAGCAAGCCACCGTCCATCAAAATTCATATTAGTGGTCCGCGGGATTTAAAATTATGAGTTTGGTGGTTCCTGAGGTCCAAAAGGTTGGCGACCCCTGGACTAGAAGACCTCCAAAGTCCCTTCCAACTCTTGTCATTCATTATGGAAGTGTTTTACACTCAATGGACGTGATTTGGCCCTGCCTGCAGTTCTGTGAAAAAGTACTTTTTCACAAGACTGTACACCACCAGGTGGTGTGGCTGTTTGCTTTTGCTTTCTGTTTCCCGAAGGGAGACTCTCCAGACTTATGAAAAAGTCAGCATTTACAAGGGTCTTCAGAACTGCCAGTTGTCATCCCTCTTCCATTTGGGCTTGTTTTGAGGACTTTTGTTTATTTATTTGTATCCCACCCTTACAGGATTATTTTTTACAAATAACTCAAGGTGGCGAACCTATCCAAAAATGCCTTCCTCCTTCTACTTTCCCCACAACAACATCTCTGTGAGGTTAGGTTCAGGTGAGAGAGAGTGACTGGCTCAAGGTCACCCACTTAGCTTTCATGGCTAAGGTCAGTGGTGGGATTCAACCGGTGTAACAACCGGTTTGGTGAGCGGTGCGTTTGAAAACGGCTCTAAAACTTACCTTCCACTGCAGCCCCAGTGAGTAAAACAGCTGAGGCGCAGCAATCCGGTCTCCCATGCCTATCAGCTGGGCTTCAAACAAAGGAAATATAGGACAGACTAGCGCAGGGGCGGGAGGGCAGGGCCAACTCATCGCCGGAACTACCGGTTCGCCCGAACCAGTCTGTACCAGCTGAATCCCACCCCTGACTAAGGTGGGACTATAACTACTGCTTTCAAGCCTGGTGTTTTAACCACTGGACCAAACTGGTTCCTGGGGGCCTTCTTGCCAGCACAGGAATCGCAGAGGCAGGAAATGGGTGACACCGAGTGGGTATCTTGTGTTTTTGCAGGGAGCCAGCCGCATGCGTGGTCGCCTGGGGAGCACGGAGAGCTTTGAAAGGTACAACCATCTCACTTCCGACAAAGTAAGTACCAAATGGATGGAAGCACCTAGGGTAGAACCCGTTGCAGAAGAACCAAAGGCATTGTTTGCCTTGTTTTTAATCACAGGTAGTCCTCAATTTGCAATTGCTCCCTTAGTGACCTTTTGAAGTTGCAATGGCAGTAAAAAAAAAAAAAATGTGGCTCATGGCCATTCTTCACAGTGATGACTGTCGTAGCCCTCCCCATGGTCATGTGATCAGAATCTGGACGCTTACGATGGTAGCAGTGTCCTGGGGGGCACAGGGTCCCCTTTTAGGACCTTCTGACCAGCAAAATCAATAGGGCAGTCAGGTTCACTTAGCGACGACATTGCTGACATAACAACAGCAGCAATTCACTTAACAACTGTAGCAAGAAAGATCATACAATGGGGCAAAACTCACTTAATGACCATCTTGTGTACAGACAGAAATTTTGAGTTCACTTGTGGTTGAAAATTGAGGACTAGCTGGATAGGACTGGAAGCAAATATGTTTATAGAGGATTCACTGACTTGACCAAATCTATATTTGGTATTATATGAGCAATACTGGAATGGATTTCTTCTTGTGTCTGTTCTGACCAAGGCTTCCTGAGACCATAATTAAGCACACGCTTAGTTAAAACAACTCTTGTTTTATTTCAACGCTGGGAATTATGTTCATTTCCAGCCTGTAATGAGTCCCAAACAATCCCCTCGAGATAAGCACCCACCTTTCTCTCCTTTGAATTGTTGCCAACAACTAAAGTGCAAAATGAACTATAAAAAACCAACTGAATTACAAAGCCCACACAGAGCTTCAAGGTTTAATCCGAACAGAGCGAACGACTTTGCTTCCTGCAAAGGTTTCTCTACCTTTGCACTTTCTTTATACCTTATGGGAGGGGCAATCACCTCCCAGCCTTACTCCCGAGTTGCCTCTTTTGTCTCAGCTGCTCCTGCCTTCTAGCAGCTCTGCGCACATGCATACTGGGAACAGGCTCCCCTTCTTCCTCTGCCTTGCTGTTGCCAGACTCCGGAGGCTCTGGAGTCAGCACCCCACTCCCAGATGGGCCTGGCCTCATCTCTGCATGGGATGCAGGACCCTCATCTGAGTCCTCTCCAGACTCCTGGACTGGACCCCATTCTTCCCCACTGTCCAGTTCTGCTGCCGTCTACACAGGCTGCCGGCGAACCACAACACTGTCATTGGACGTTGGCGATTGTGTTGCCAATCCTATTTTCATCAACAGCCCCATGAAAAGTGCTTCTGAGTTTTGTCCAAACCAGATTTTGAAGCCATGATGCTCTTCTTCTTCTGCCTGGACCTCACTTGCCTTCAATCTTCCGGTGGAGGATTAAGTGAAGGATGCCTTATTTTTCCAGGTGTCGCATCACAGGTCTGAAATATTCTAACTTTTGCTTTTTTTTTATGGTTTTGATGATTTCCTTTGGCTTTCCCAGGCGGCTTATCATCTCCTCATTTCTGATTTTATCGACCCAACTTATACGTAACAGGCCGCCAGTAAATCCACATTTCACAGGCTTCTATTGGAATGGTTGAACGCTATTTAAAGCTCTGAGGGAAACTGGAAAGAGTCTGGCCCCCTTCAGCTCCTTTGCAACTTAACCAGTACAATGCTCATTTAATGAGTTACTTAGCAAGACATCCATTTCAGGCTCCTTTGCGGTTGTAAAGTGAGGACTCCCTGTGTTTATTATTTTTAAAACATTGAAGTAAAGTAAATCATAAAAACTCCAGGCTTTCTCCTGTCGGCATAAGCATGGAGAGCGTCTGAGGGGGGTGATCTTGTGCTAAGCAGGGTGTGAATGGTACCCTTTCCGCTTATTTCCTGTGGAAACGCTTTCTCCTCCGTTACTCCTACAATAGGGATTTCCCATTCTCCTCCCCTTCCCCAGGATATAAATCCAGGGCTGTTTGTGTGTGGTTTTCAATGATCCTGCCAGGTTATCCGAAGGGGAGCTCTTAACCAGAGTGCAGTTTGGACAAGACAGGGAAATCCTCTCGGCCCCAGATCCAGGAACCAGGCCGAGGGGCCAGCTTTGGTGAGGAGGTGGACTTCTGGCTCGCTTCCTCTTCTTCTTCCTCTCCCCACCTCAGATGGTCCTCTAGTAAACGTTTGGACACCCTGGGCTATGTTGAATGTGGGCAGGGTTCTCCCTCCCCTGAGCAAAGTGGTTTGCGTGTTTTCTTCTTAAGCTTCAAGGAACGCCTGTGTGAGGAGAGCCGCCTCTCATGTTTTGTGTGGGAGGTGCGTAGACGGTGTGGGTGGCAAGGGAAGCACCTCATTCTTGTCTGTGGGCTTCTAGGACTGCTCCTCTGGGGACTCCCCACCCTCCACACCTCCGGCGTCTCCTGTCGCCTTGGCCAGACACCCGTTTCCCGAAGAGGACTCCGACTCTCCCCAGTTCAGAAGACGCGCCCATACTTTCAGCCACCCGCCCTCCGCCTCCAAGAAGAGGATCACTTTCCAGAATGGACGATCTCAAAGCGTCCGGTCGCCCCTCCTGAGGCAAAACTCGGCCGAACAAAGCAGGTAAGTTAGGCTGGGAGGGCCAAGGGACTTTCTTTAGAGCAGGGGTCTTCACACTTGACAGATTTAAGACTTGTGGACTTCAACTCCCAGAATTCCTCCTCCGGTCCTGTTAGCTCAGGAATTCTGGGAGTTGAAGTCCGCAAGTCTTAAACTTGCCAAGTGTGAAGACCCCTTGGTTTAGAAGATAGGCTGGGTAGATGCCCACCTGGGAAGCCTCCTGAAGTCCTTGGCTCAGGAAGGCCAGGGTTGCCTTCAGACATGCAGATGTCCTGAAGTTGGGATGAGATGGTTGCAATGTATTTTAAGTAGCCAGGTGTACCCTTCTAATAATAATAATATATGTTGTCCAGCTCCCAGCAGCTCTCTTGGGAGGGATATATGTCAATCTCTTTATAAAAATGATACTTGAAAGTATTGAATAATAGACTAACAGAGTTGTGGAAGTCTTCTAGTGCAAAATTGGTCAAAATTAGTCATTCATATATATGTGTGTGTGTGTATGTATATGTATATGTAATTTTTAATGTCATTTCATCTTCAGTTTTGAACAGTGTGTTGTCTCAGTACAAATATCTTTGTTAAACAATAATCAAAATTACAACATCCTTTATTACGTTAATATTCATTCTGCAATACTTAACATAGTAATGGGTCCAGCATTAATTAGTCTTCGAGGTACAAAATCAGTCATTGATCCTGTGCACTGAGACAGGTGTGACTGGTTTAAAATGAAGGGGAAAGAGGTCATTTCCAAAATCCTATGTATTTAAATCTCAGGGACCTTGGAGGTCTTCTAGTCCAAAATTGGTCAAAATTAGTCTAGGTTCAACATTGATCGTTGACTCTACGCACTGAGCCAGGTGTGACTAGTTCAAAATGAAACAGTCATTTCCAAGATTCTATATATTTAAATCTCAGCCATGAAAAATGTTAGAGAAGCAACTTAGAACTAAGGAGAAATTTCCAGAAGTTGTGAACGCTCCAACACTGGAAATTTTTAAAAAGATGTTGGATATCCATTTGTCTGAAGCGGTTGTAGGGTTTCCTGCCAGGCAGGGGGTTGGCCTAGAAGACCTCCAAGGTCCCTTCCAACTCTGTGATTCTGTTAAATGTTTCGCTTAAGAACAGAGATTTTGGGGGTCAGTTATGGCCACCTGTTATGGTAGGGTTACCTAAACTTCATTTTCAGCTGGCCAGAAGTCAGCTTTCTATTATTCTATTCTATTATTTTGTCAGGCTGCAGAGGCAACTTTCGAACACCTTCAAACGCCGCTCCGTGTGAGGAAATATGGCGGGAGTTTTAATCCCTGCCTTGTTGACACACCTTCTGGCTTTCACAAGACCCAGAGGGGTTGACTCTTGTATGCAAAGATTCTTGTGACGTTGTGGTCTCCTCTGGGAATCTCCATTTCAGTGGGATTCACTTCAGTGGGACCTTTTCAAGGCTTTGTCAGCCGAAAACCTGAGACGTTGTGGATATTTAATTCTTACACCTCAGGAGGGCACAAACCCTTAGTACCCAAAGAAGTAGGTTTGTCTCTAAAACGGCAAAATTTTCTCCCTTGTCAGGCTGAAATATCTCCCCAGGTTTGGGCAGGGATGGGTGAGAGTGCACAGGGAGTTTGGCAGTTCAGGTGCTACACGGCTTTTGGGAGACAGAAGTATCTGGGAAGGTTCTGAATCAAACAGAATAGCGCTGGAAGGGATCTTAACCACCTTCGTTGCTCTTCTTTGCATTTTCCCCCCCGGAAGTCTCAACATCTTTTTTTTTGTAATGTGGTGACCAAAACTGGTTGCAGTCTTCCAGGTGTGGCCTTATTAAGGCTTTATAAAGTGGTACTAATACGTCATGTGATTTTGATTCTGTGCCTCTGTTTATACAACCAAGGATTGTATTAGCTTTTTTGGCGGCTACTGCACAGGATCCAAGGTGCCTCTCACCATTCAGATAACAGATAATCAGAGTTGGAAGGGACCTTATAGGTCATCTAGTCCAACCCCCTGCCCAAGCAGGAGACCCTACACCATTTCTGACAGATGGCAGTCCAATCTCTTCTTGAAAGTCTCAAGTGATGGTGCTTCCACAACTTCCGAGGGCAACTTCTGTTCCATTGGCTGAATGTTCTCACTGTCAGAAAGTTCCTCCTTATTTCTAGGTTGAATCTCTCCTTATTCATCCATTTCCATCCATTATTCCTTGTCTGGCTTTCTGGTGCTTTGGAGAATAGCTTGACCCCTTCCTCTCTGTGGCAGTCCCTCAAATATTGGAATTCAGAGAGTGTTTATCCCAAATTCTGTAAAAATCTGTATAGATTCTCAGCCATCCAGGTCATGGTTATACCCAAGAGTGCTTTTTCACAAGGCAACTGGACTTTTTCTTTTGAAGGTTTTTTCTTTCTTTCGAAGTTGTTTCACTTCTCATCCAAGAAGCTTCTTCAGCTCTGACAGGAGAGTGGGGAATGTTAGGATCCTGGAAAAAAAACAACAACACTATCCTGTCAGAGCTGAAGAAGCTTCTTGGTTGAGAAGTGGAAACATCTTCAAAAGAAAAAAAAAAACCCAAGGAAGTCCAGTCCAGATCCAAAACACATTGCATCTATTTCTGAGGGAATAGGAACTTTAGGCGAGCTGCAGATTTCACTTCTCCTGAACGCTGCTTCCAGAACAGTTGAGAAATCAGTTTATTTGAAATGTGATCACTTGGTCAGTGTCCTGCCTCTCTGCTTTGTTTATATTTTCTCAAGCTCAGGCTGCAGTCTTGCAGCGCCACAGGAAACCTGAGCAAGAATAGGGCTTAGATAGCCCAACAGGCCAGCATTTCTTTCTTTTGTCTTTGTCACAGCAAAGCTGGGCGCTCGCTGGCTCAACCAGTTCCCTAATTAGAGCCGCAATTCCTGTGTTAGATGTTGCTTTTCCACGGGTTGTTTTTCTGGCATGGAAACCGTTCTTTCCAAGAATTGCTTAGCAGCGGGGGACGGGGGGGAGCTAAGAAAACGCTCCCCCCCAAAAAAACCTTATTCCTCATTTTAAAAGTGGAAATAAATCTTATTGCCCCATCCCCAGAAAAAGCCCAAGAAATGCATTGTGCAGCAAAATAATAATAATAATTAAACTTGTGGTGAAATATTTATTCTGTGGAATTGTGTAAATATGCCTAGAATTACATGACCTCATCCCACTGCCGAAAGTGACTGAATGTTGTGCGTTCTCTCTCAACAAGGCTTAGCTCCCTGCACGCTGCAAACACAACACATCCCAAAACCCCCAACCGAACATTATTGGTTCGATACAAAGCAAACTGCACAATATCTGGAAACCCAAGTGTGGGTGTGTGTATAAACATAAATCTCTGAGAAATATGCTGTCTGCCAGGTAGCAACTCTGCTAAGTAATTTACACGCAATCCTTGACCCACAACCACAACGGAGCGCCAAATTTCCATTGCTAAATGAAACAGTGGTTAAATGAATTTTCCTCCATTTTACGGTCTTTCCTGCCATTGTTATTAAGTGAATCACTTAATCATTTGTTAAGTTAGTAACATGGTGTTTTTTTTAAGAGAATCTGGCTTTTCTGGATTCTGGCTCCCTGTCAGAAGATTGCAAACGGTGATCCCATGATCCCAAGGACACATAAATACATGCCAGTTGCCAAGCATCTGAATTTTGATCAGGTGACCCTGGGGTGAAAAACAGCCTTAAGTCACTTTTTCAGTGCTGTTGTAACTCGGAATGGCCGTTATTTGCATGGTTGTAAGTGGAAGATTAGCTGTAATCACCAAGGGACTGCAGATCAGATGGATCTGAGAGCTAGGCAGTCATTTATGGGTCCTCCATTCAGTGCAAGACAACCTCCCGTAAAGAGGGCTCAAGGGTTCAAGCAACGTTTTGGGCAATGACTGCACTTTTCTGGCGGCATTTATTCGATCACCCACTCTGCTACTGAGGAGAAGTTGAAGATCTGCGAAAGAAGCCACCCACCAACTCTTAATTCTACTACAGGAACACACAGCTAAACGTGGGATCAATCCTCTGGCTGTGTTCTGGTGGGGTGCCCACCCTCTTCGGTTTAGCAAATGCTCATATCCCCAGCTCAGCTCATTCGCAAATGGCCAACTTGCCATGGTTAACTTGCCGTGGCCAATTCGCCATTGGACAATTCAACAAATACAAGTATGCATTGATGATGTTAACCTAGTTTGGGTATTGAAATGTCTGCAAGAAAACAGATAAGCTTAGAGGGCACCAAAGACCCCACAATCCCCCCTTTTTTCCTCCTCCTCCTCCTCCTCCTCCTCCTCCTCCTCCTCCTCCTCCTTGCAAATCCCACTCCTTCTAGCACTGAAGATACTACCTAGCTGGGCAATGAAACGTCTGGAAGAAAACGAGCGAGCTCAAGAGAGCGCCAAGGACCCCTCATTTCAATCCTGAGCTACAGAGATTCATCTTTGTAAACAGAAGAATTAAATTAATTTCAATGGAACCACAGCTAATGATAATAATAAAATAAAGTCCACCCAGAAATTCAAGCGTTCACAATAATTTCGACGAAAAGGTGGTCACCAATAATAAAAGGAACTGAAAGAAACAGTATGGCATTGAATTGTCCTGCAGTGAGTTGGCCCATGGCAAGTGGGCCGCGGTGTGTTGACCGCAGTGAGTTGGCTATGGAGAGTTGTCCTAAACCTCATTGGCATGCTGTTTCGGTGATAACGCCCCGTTGCAACTCAGGTTAACTCTTACCTTTTTTGCAGTGGATGTAGATGAGAGATTGGGCCCAGTGGTGGGATTCAATTTTTTTTTTTACTCCCGGTTCTGTGGGTGTGGCTTGGTGGGCGTGGCAGGGGAAGGTTACTGCAAAATCCCATTCCCGCCCCACCCCACTAACCTGCTTTCCAGCTCCGTTCTTCAGTGCAAGGCAACCAAAGAAGACCCAGCCAATCAGCTGGGATTCGGGAGGCGGAGAATAGATGGGGGCGGAGCCAGTCAGAGGTGGGATTT